TCTTGAGGGAAGTTTATTATGCATAATTAGTGTCAAGGTCACTTTTCTAGAAGTACTCTTTTGTTCTTATCCTATTATTGGAAACTTTTACTTGTTATTTTGATTATGCATATTGGAAACAGGGTTCTGAGTTTCAAGGTTGAGTAACAGGATTATGCTTTGGTACCTAGAAAGAGCTGGACATAGCCAGTTGTTTTATTAATCATAAGTTTCTGCCTGAAATTGAGAAAGATAATGAAATATGCCCTGATGTCAATTATTAAGCTCTGTGGGTAGACTGTGCATTTACATTATATAAAACAAAATAGTAGATATTGAAAACTATTCTATTTTACTTTCAGAACACAGATTTTCCCAGAATGAATTTTTTTCATGAGTTGGCCTTATAATCATTTTTTCTTCCATAGAATCACCAAATGTATTTTAAAATTCTATAAGATTCATCGTCTTTAATGTTAGACAAAACATTCCTAATATGCTGGTACTGGCATTAATTTTTAAGCAATCACAACCTCTGCTAGTAATATTACTGTTTAGGTCGAAATATCTATCAGGAAATTCTTGAGATCACTGTCATTTATATGTAGATATAACCTTTCCACTTGCCTTTAACTGAAATAATCATTCTCTTTCACTCCAAAATGCATTACAAACAAAAATGCTGAGTTCACAAAAGGAGATGATCTCCAATTTGAAGCTAGTAGCTGTCAATAATTTATTTGATGGCAAGCACCATATCTTATTAGCTAAGTACTTCTCATGACCCACAGAAAGTTTCCATGTAGTTGTTCCCAGTGATATGTAAGTCAAGGAGTGTTAGTTAAAGTTTATTGGCCCCTTGGCACTGAAGTAGGAGAAAATTATATTTAGAAATTTGGGCAGCTTTATGCTAATGAAGTTTCTTTTGAATCAGAATTTTAGACTCAGGCAACAATGGTATATTGTCTTCTTCCATGGCTTAATCAAGAATCATACTTTGTTTACATCAATACAGATGTCTATAAGTATGGTAAATTAAGTTGGTTTTCACTTCCTGAAAACCAAATCATCTTATTCGTGAGCTTCTTCTCTTGTGTGCTACATGGCTTAAATAATTAATAGACAAATGTCAATGTCTTCAATTTAAATTCCCTTTTCTCTTCCAATTGTCTTCTTTCTTTTGCACTACATATTTTTTGGTGCAATATTCCTTATTATATTAAAGTTTGATTGAACTCAGAAAGGAAGGGAACTTCTCACATTTTAACAATCAAGTTTTTTCATGTGGTCTTGTATTGATGGTGATTTCTTGAGGCACCAATGTTCTTCCACTACCTTGTTCCCCTGGAAATGTGTTGGTCACTGTTAGATAAATTTGAAGATTTCTTCCAGTAAAATCTTTAATGCCTTGGGGAGGTGTTAAGACTGATGAATCTGACTAATCTGACTATGGTGAAGTCTAATAAGAATTGCTTTTATAGTCAAGATGGTTCATGAGCAGATCACTTACTTACCTTTTCATGTATCTTGTCTCTCTTCTTCCTGACTCGACAGCTCCTCCTACGGTTCGTATTGTGCACTCAGGCTTGGCCTGTAACATTGAAGAGGAGCGCTACTCTGAAAGGGTCTACACTATCCGGGAAGGAGAAACCCTAGAGTTGACTTGTCTAGTCACAGGACATCCACGTCCACAGGTGAGTCCCGAACTGTGACACTGGAGAAAACACTCTCTGACTTTTCTTGGAAGTCAAAAAGTGTATATTTTAGAATATTTAGCTAAAACTGTGTATGTGGGGGTGTGTGTTTGTAACTCAAGTGCAAGTATATGTGCAATGCAGGACAAGAGTGTGGATTTCAGAACATTCAAACTTGAGCTATTTTTGTGTATAAGATGAAAAAAGAAATTTTTGTTTTGGTATTATGGGAAATGTAGAAGACACTTCTAAGGAAGCTGTTAAACAGACAACTACAAAAATATCTCAGTAGGATAACAATTCATATGGCAATGAGTTTATTTTAAAACGTGGAACATGATTTCATGATGACATAATTGCAACCGAGAGGTATTTGTTCTGAAGAATGTGAAGCATGAGGTCACATGTACTTTTCTTACTCCTAGTCATTTTATTCATAGAAAACCTTGAAAAACAAACAGTTGCAGATACTGTATGCACTCAGGCCTTCAGAATCATCAGCTACACCTTTCTTAAGCTAATTTTATAGAAGCAATAAAAATGGAGACTTTTAAAGGGCACTAAAATTACAACAATATGTAAAGGCAAAGCTCACGCATGGTGGCTCATGCTTACAACCTCAGCACCTTGTGAGGCTGAGGCAAGAGGATCACTTGAGGTCAGAAGCTGGTGACTAGCTTTTAGTCTCTACAAAAAAAAAATTAAAAATTAGCTGGGCCTGGTGGTGCACACCCGTAGTCTCAGCTACTCTAGAGGCTGACGTGAAAGGATCACTTAAGCCCAGGAGATCAAGACTGTAGGTTGTCATGACAGTACCACCACACTCCTGTCTGGGCAACAGAGAGAAACACTGTCTCAAACAACAATCAAAACAAAAAAAAAAAAGAGAGAAAACAAAATATTTGTAAGAACAAAATAGTTAGATAGAAGATAATATGTTTAGGTTTTTTATATATATATATATGATGCAGCAATCTAATTTAGATGCAGAATATTGAGGATATTTTACTCAAAAATTGATAATTCTTATTGTCAATAACCTTACTAGCTCAAAATTCACGTTTGTAATCAACACAAGCACTATGGTAGGAAAAGTAATCTCATTTAGTAGATAAAGTTACATATTTTAAGTATTTGTGTTACAGGAAAAAAAAAAAAATCCAGCTAACAAAGCTACAGAGGGAAAAGTGAAGAGTAATGTGGAAATTTTATGAACTCACCATTTTAACCCTGTTTTTAACTTCTGCCATTCTTGACTCTTACTGACAGATCCTTAACTCAAGGATCTTTTTATTTACCATTTTGACTCTGAAATGATAAAAATACGCATATAAAGCATCACAGAATGAAGCATTAAATAGACAAGACCATGGCTAAAACCGAAATGGTAAAATATGCTTAATAAAACTCATGCTGTTGGTAAAATGAAAAAGAACAAAAGTAATCTAGAAAGAATAATTATTAAAAATGTTAAAAAAGGAAAACTCATAACTATAATTTCAAATTATAGCATTTGCTATTAAATGAAAATGGATTAAAGAATACAATTGTCTTAATGAAATTTAGATAAACACAATTTGAGCCAGGATAATTACGCTTGATAGAAAAAAAATGATTCCAAAAGACAACATACAAGGGCAGACTGATGACTGATAATTGTTAAAATTTGAAACAAGGAAATGGATATGTGAAGCATTTTCATTTTAAAATTTATACAGAAAACAATGTCCACTTAAAATAATGTTACCAAAAATTTAAACAATGATAGACTTAACTCAAGATAATATTAACTCAAAGAAAATACAGTGTTGTTATAATTTGATTATATGTTTTGTTTTCTAGACATGGAATAGAAATTTCAGAGTCAAAAGTTGGGATCTAAACAGGAGGGTCCAAACATATTTAAAAGAAGCTGTGAAGAGCTTTATGAGAGGCAATTTATGGCAAGAGAAGATTCACTGAGGCTCCCATTAGTCCTTCACTGAGTGTACTAAATTTACACCTTCTGAACTCCAAATTGTATTTAAAAAATCAACTTCTTATCTCTGTTTCTAACCCCAGGTGTTGCTCTGCTGCTTCTCTCTCCATCCTCCTGTCCCTTTAATATTGGAAATTTCCCATTTTCTCCATACATTTTCCCTTTTTATCATTCACAATCAGGAGTACAATCTTTGACCTCAAGACAAACCAGATTAAGTTCTGAAACGAAGAAGTAGATCATTCATTTTTTTTTTTTTTCCCCTAAGCAGTTCCATTTTTGGGAAACATTTCAATGTGTTTTGATCCTAAGAAAAATGTATTGTTTTGGTATCAGTATCTTTTTATTCCTAGAATTAATTAAGGTGTTTGCAGGTGAATCAGTTTCAGCTTATATTGCCAGTTGAAAAATTAACTGGGCCTCTTCATTGTCAACAAACTGTATAAGGAAGGCTGACAGAACAGCTGGGGCTTGGCATTCTGGCCAAAGTCTAAAGGGCATGCTATTGGCAGCTGGTCCTGAGGATGATTTTTGTTGGCTGATATCAGAAAGCTGGAATGACTTTCTTGCTTGCCTAATCTGAGTATGATAGTTGGAAATGCAGTGGAAGAGAGAGGTTCCTCATTCACTCATCAGCAGATTTCTTAATCTGCTACCTATTCTTCTAGCAGTAAGAGTCATAAAGATTGTTTATTTCCAAAAGTATTATAGAGAGCATTTTTTCTAGCCTCTTTAATTTTTTATGGGGTATTGTTTAGTGATAGGTAGTGGCCTGAAGGTATTGATGTATCCAAAGAAAATAAAACAAGTGAAGAAGAGGTCAGTACGATGCAATAGTTGAGAGCATGATGCTGGAACCGGACTGTCTGGATGTAACTCTGGCTCCACCAGGACTAATAGTGTGACCTTGGAAAAGTTCCGTAATCTCCCAGCTTTCTTTGCCTCAGTTTTCTTTTTTATATTTCCGGGATGATAATAACTATCTTGTATCATAGAATCCTTTCGAGAGTTAAATTTATATTATGGATATATATACACACATATATTCTGTGTGTGTATATATACACATATACATATATATACACACACACACATACATACAAATACAACTATACTTTCTTGGTACATAAGCATTGTGTCAGCATGTAATAGAAACATGTTGGCTTTATTATTTTTCAGTAATTTAGGAGCATCAACTCTAAGATCTCTATTTGGATATGTAGGTATGAAAATAAGTAGGTTTTAAAACTGGTTTTAGTATTCCTATATCCTGCTTTAAATTAGATGCATTTAAATCAATTTCAGTATTTTTTGTGTGTTATTGCTCTGCACAGCCTATACATCTCTGTTAATTAGCCTTTTTAGCTTGCAAGGAATAGAACTATGTTCAGACTACCTCGTTTAATGAGGGTTTATTACAAAGATACATGAAGAAGTAAGAAAGAAAGAAAGAGTTTGCCAGTAAATCTAATAATCTAGTACAAACTCTAGATGTCTACAGCTTCAGAATTCAGCTACCCTCTTTCTTCCCCTCTCTGCATCCCTTCCCTTCCCTTCCCTTCCCTTCCCTTGCCTGCCCTGCCCTGCCCTCCCCTCCCCTCCTTTCCCTTCCTCTTTCTCCTTTCTCAAAATTATCACATCAATAATTTAAATACATTATAAATATAGTCTTGTAAATGACTTAAACAGTAGGATATTTAACATAAATGTTTCTCTTCTTCCGACCTGCCCTGCTTCCCAGAAGTAATAGTTCGGCATATCACCTTTCAGTTCTTGTTCGATGCATTTCCTTTATATAATTATTTATGTTCATGTTCCATTTTCAATTTTTAATAAATGAGATAATGAAAAGTATTATTCTATGACTAGAATTTTTCACTTGGCCATGTGTCCAAAACACCAAGTATGGGTCTAGCCTGGTAGTTCTTAATGTGTGGTTTCTGGAGATAATTGATTAAAAATGAAAATTCCAGATCACTTCACATTAGAAATCCCTGCATTGGGGCCAGCAATTCATGTTTTAGCAAGCCCTCCAAGTGAATCTGATGTACGCTAAAGTTTGAACCAGTGGCTTGGATCATTGTCTTCGCTCAGGCTGAATAGTTCTTTGTATGGGTGCACTGAATTTTGCTGTGAGTACTCTCAAATGTGTATAATTGCTGCTGTGTTGTTCATCATGGAATTACTTACAGATGGTCACTGTTATAAACAATCCAATGAATACTTGTAGGGTATATGTTTGTGTTGCCTGTATGTACATCTTTGTGAAATGTATGGTAGCATTGCTGTATCTTAGATTCCCTCCTCAAAATGGAATTATTTAGCCAAAGTTGAAAGGGACCTTTACTTGCTTTCTCAATGGGAGTGTTTTTTTTTATTTTTTTATTTTTGTCAATTTGATGGAAGAAAGTAAATTACACTCAATTGCAATTTAAATTTGCATTTTAAATCACTAGCCAATTTGAACATTTTCCCGCATGTTTATCAGTCATTTGTACATCTCTATTTACTGGTCCTCTCTTTTCTTGCTAGTTTGCTCCTTCTTGTAGACTTGTGAAGACAAATATACTACATAAATAAATTCAATTGCTGATAAACATGTTGCCAATTGCACCTCCCAGGGTGTTACTTGTGTTTTAAGATTGTTTATGATACTTTTGTTCTCAGGTTTTTGTTTTGAAAAGAGGAATCATTTTTGGCTTATGAGTTTTGTAGCTACTTTAGCAAGATCTCCTTATATCCATTTAAGATTTGTTTTTCTGACAGCTTATAGTCATTTATGTATTTGACAATTTAATCATCAGGAAATCATTTTGTCCTTAGTATGAAGTGTTAGTTTAGTGTGCTTTCTGTCTCCTTCTTCTCTCTTTTTCCCTCTTGCCCTTATATAAATAGGATGGTCAATATTCCACTGGACAGCTTCAAAATGCTCTTTTTAGCATTAACAAAATTACATTAGTCTGCACCTTTCTGTTATTCTGTTCCTGTACCGAATCAATTCCATGGTACCTTCTACAGCTTT